GGTAGTAGGAGCCCCTGTGGGGCACGTGGCTCAACGTGAAGTTGACATCAATGGCGTAGCGGACCACCCCTTCCCCCATGTACTGTTGGAAGACAACGCTGGTTCATTTGGAGGATGACGCCAAAGAACGCGGGGGAAATATTTAGCGTCGCTACTGAAGCGGTGCGCCGCGCCGGCAAACAGGAAGTTGTCCGGTGGTTACATTAGACGGCCAACAGGATTGGATTTTTGGCCACTTCCGTGTCTCCCAGTTCAACCCCCCCCGCCCCCATTCCATCTGTGCACAAACTCAAGCGAGGTGCCAAAAGTAATTGCCGCCAAACCGTTTGGAGGGTTTATGAAAGTCGGCGTTTTTCCGCTTGAATAGTTCTGATACAAGCAACAGAGGAGCGGTGGGTAACGAACGCCGCGTGTGCAACTCACCTATCATGTCTTCGGTTTTGAAGAGACAGTTTTTGGATGTGGAGGTCTGAACCTCAAGAGTTCTGGCGTCTCGAAGCAGCAGCTTGAATGTCGCATAAAAGTTGGACAGGTTAATGTCCTGAAATGAGGGGAGAGAAAAAAAAAGAAAATCAGAAGGTTCACCGAGGATTTCGGGAGTTCTTTGTTATTTTCGGTGCGTCACTTACCTCATAGGTATAGCCTACGGAAAACACAGGAACTTCCAAGGTGATCTTTTGACTGTCGTTGAGAAGTTTGTAGCCTCTTTGAGCGGCAAGCTGCGGCGTCAGCGGCTGGCGCTCAACGCCCACCTCCCACAGCGAGCGGGCTCCGGGGCCCATGGCCACGCTGAAGAGGACGCCTCGGTCCAAGCACTGAGCCGTGATCTTTGGAGGAACTAGAGGAGAGAACGGGTGTGAAACGGGGGGTGCCTTTTCAGCAGTGGCCAGATAGCGACGCGCCCTTACACGCGCTGAAGACTTGAGCCGTGATGGAGGTGTGGTGGTAGTAGGAGCCCCTGTGGGGCACGTGGCTCAACGTGAAGTTGACATCAATGGCGTAGCGGACCACCCCTTCCCCCATGTACTGTTGGAAGACAACGCTGGTTCATTTGGAGGATGACGCCAAAGAACGCGGGGGAAATATTTAGCGTCGCTACTGAAGCGGTGCGCCGCGCCGGCAAACAGGAAGTTGTCCGGTGGTTCCATTAGACGGCCAACAGGATTGGATTTTCGGCCGCTTCCGCGTCTCCCCGTTCCACACGTGCCATCTGTGCACAAACTCAAGCGAGGTGCCAAAAGTCTTACCGTCCTCTGAACTGCAGCGTTTGAAAAGGGAAGCTGGAGTCGGTAAGCTCGGCTGCCATTGAGGGGCGCGATGGGGGGGGCG